ATTCGAGATACCGGATCACCCGAGATTTGAGTTCACTAGTGGTAGCACATCGGTCGGACCTGTGGAGTTTAGAGCTAGACCGAAGAAGGCGACGTTAGCTGCGATGCAAGTGGAATCCGAGAAGCTAATTGTAGTTCAGGAATTTGAAGATGTGTTTCCCGACGATATTTACGGATTGCCACCGGATCGAACAATTGAGTTTTCCATAGATTTGAAGCCTGGAACTGCTCCGATCTCTAAGACTCCTTATCGTATGCCACCGGCTGAGTTGGCCGAGCTTCGGACTCAGTTGGATGATCTTTTGCAGAGAGGCTTGATACGACCTAGTGTATCGGCCTGGGGAGCGCCTGTGTTGCTTGTGGGTAAGAAGGATGGATCCAAGCGGATGTGCATCGACTATCGGGAGTTGAATGCTGTGACAGTGAAGAATAAGTATCCACTTCCCCGTATTGATGATATCTTCGACCAATTAGGATGAAGCGGAACATGCGGAGCATTTGCGGTACGTGCTGAAGACCTTGAGAGAGCATCGGCTATTCGCCAAGTATAGTAAGTGTCAGTTCTGGCTGGACCGCATTGCATTTCTAGGACACGTGGTGTCAGGAGATGGCATATATGTGGACCCAGATAAAGTAGCTGTTGTTAAGGATTGGCCTACCCCTAAGTCGGTGTCCGACATTAAGAGTTTCCTGGGATTAGCTGGATATTATCGGCGTTTCATCAAGGATTTCTCGAAGATTGCAGAACCAATGACGCGTCTTACGAGGAAGGATATTAAATTCGTCTGGTCCGACGCTTGTGAGCAGGCGTTTGAGGAGTTAAAGTCTCGATTGATTTTAGCCCCAGTCTTGACGATACCAAATAGGGGCGGGAACTTTGAGGTGTTTTGCGACGCATCAGGTAGAGGATTAGGATGCGTTCTTCAGCAAGATGGTCATGTGGTAGCGTATGCTTCTCGCCAGTTGAAGAAGCATGAGCAGAATTACCCTACCCACGACTTGGAGTTGGCAGCTGTGATTTTTGCCCTTAAGCTTTGGAGGCATTATCTGTTGGGAGAGCAAGTGAAAGTGTTTACGGATCACAAGAGCTTGAAGTACATTTTTACTCAGAAGGAGCTCAACATGAGACAACGCAGATGGTCGGATCCTTACGATTTGGGAGTCGTATCTGTGTACCAGGAGGAGATATTCGAGAGGAGTTATTACGGGAAGCTCATAGCTCACCGTATTCTATTCATCCTGGAGGCACGAAGATGTATAAGGATCTGAAGATGAACTTTTGGTGGCGTGGTATGAAGAGAGATGTAGCTCGTAGTGTGGCGAAGTGTCTTGTATGTCAGCAGGTGAAGGCAGAGCATCAGCGTATCGCAGGTCTATTACAGCCATTACCTATTCTGGAATGGAAGTGGCAACATATTACCATGGACTTCGTTACTGGCTTACCTCGGAGCACTAGACAAAATGACGCTGTTTGGGTGATCGTAGATCGATTAACCAAATCGGCTCACTTCATTCCTTTCCGAGTGGGACAGTCGACGGAGCATCTTGCTCAGAGATACATGGAGGTAAAATATCTATCTCTATATGTTCGATGAGTTCCTTTCCAAGGGTGTTAGTAAATCTCTAGTATTGCAGGAGATCGTACGATTGCACGGAGTTCCAGTGTGCATCGTTTCGGATCGTGATACCCGATTTACCTCAGAGTTCTGGAAGAGTTTGCAGGCGAGTCTTGGGACCAGTCTCAGTTTCAGCACAGCTTATCATCCCCAGACCGATGGGCAGTCGGAGAGGACCATTCAGATTTTGGAGGATATGCTTAGAGCCTGTATGCTTGATTTTCATGGATCGTGGGAAGATCACTTGCATTTGGTGGAGTTTGCATACAACAATAGTTTCCAGGCTAGTATTGGAATGGCCCCTTTTGCAGCACTATATGGCAGGAAGTGTCGTTCTCCGTTGAGTTGGGACGACGTTGGTGAACGAGAGATTTTTGGGCCAGAGTTGATTGAGAGATCAGTTGATGCAGTCAGGATCATTCGGGAGCGACTTCGCATAGCACATGACAGATTCAAGCATTGGGCAGATGCGAAGCGCCGGAATTTAGAGTTTCAGCCAGGAGATCATGTATTCCTGAAGATTTCCCCCAACCGAGGCACCATTCGCTTTGGAAGGCGTGGGAAGTTGAGCCCGCGATATGTGGGACCTTTCGACGTATTAGAGAGAGTTGGAGAAGTGGCGTACCGACTTGCATTAC